AGAAACTATGGCCGGCGAGCCAAGAGCAAACCTTTGCAATAGATCATAGCTTTTGGGGAGCAAAACAAATCACAGCTCCTGGTTTGGATGTAAGAGTAAGACAAGGGTGTATGGTTTGTTTTTGTCCAGCTCAAGCAGAGAGGAGCAAAGTGGGGAAGACTTGACAAGTTCATGGTAACACATTAACTATAGCTTACTGTGCGTGCAAACTCTGCAAATGAGATTGATGATTGTAAGATAAGCATTCAAATACAGTTAACCCCTGACCATTAGGTCCAGTCGTGACCGACTCTGGGGTTGCGGTGCTCATCTCACTTTATTGGCCGAGGGAGCCGGCGTACAGCTTCCGGGTCATGTGGCCAGCATGACTAAGCTGCTTCTGGCGAACCAGAGCAGCGCACGGAAACGCCGTTTACCTTCCCGCCAGATACCTATTTAACTACTTGCACTTTGACATGCTTTTGAACTGCTAGGTTGGCAGGAGCTGGGACCGAGCAACAGGAGCTCACCCCGTCGCAGGGATTCGAACCGCCGACCTTATGATCATCAAGTCCTAGGCTCTGTGGTTTAACCCACAGCGCCACCTAATTCAGGCCAAATACAGTTAGCTTTCTTAAAAACAAAAACGAGAACTTGCTTCTTGTCTTTTAACCCAGTGCCTTTGCACTGATGGGCCAAGATATTGAAAGGCAGCTTCCAGGTTTAGTTCCCTTAATGGGCAGTTGCGTGGAATGTTGCCTGCATGCTTTTATATCCATGAGTAAAGGGCTGGAGAGTTTATTTTTCTTTTAAACAGAAGCCAAAGAAATTAGGAAAGGGACCAGAGGAACCCCCACCCCACAGGTGCCCCTGGACTTTTTGGGCTTGGGCAACAGAACAGAGTCAATATGCAGAGATACTAGAGGCAAAATTCATAACAGGAAATGTGAAATTAAGGGTAAATGACTGAAGTGACAATGCTGTCAAATTATTATTTATGTTCCAACTAGACCTAATGAATTGTGGTGAACAGCTGTTGCCAAATCACTTATGGAGTAAGCCCATTCTTGCAGCAAGTGAAATTGGGATCTATCCTTTTGAGATTGTACGCTGCCAGGTCATTAAGATTTTGAGGATCAAAATTATTATTTAGAAAAGCCAGGAGATCCATTTAAATATTATGGGTAGGGAAGGGGAACCCCATTTCTGCACACGAGGGTCATCTAGTCTAACGCCCTGCAATGCAGGAATCTTTTCCCCAATGTGGGGCTTGAAGACCCTAGGATTAATAGTCTCGTGCTCTGCTCACTGAGCTATCCCACCCTCCTGCATTAGACAGAGGTTTACCGGGCAAGGTAGAATGTTGTAATAAGGTTCTTCTGCCCCTCCACTGCTTGTAAGCGTATCTGAACATTGCCTCTCTGTGTTATATAAAATCATTGCTTTAAAAAAAGAAGAAGTTTTGAATAGTTGCATTCATCTTCTGCTTCGTGCTGTCAGAACCGATGTGTCTTTCTCCCATGATGGGGCTTTGTAATTTAACTCCTCTTCTGGAATTGTCATCTGTCTTGGTGGCTTGCCGTCTTGCTACCTGAAGGCGTAGGGGTGCTCACGTTCTGCTAACAAGATGCCGATTTGCAAGCCGTGACCTGCCTGCACGTAGCGCCACGTATCTTCCAGTGTTAATGCGAGTCACAGATAACGCCAAACTCTGCGTTCTTCCATTATGGTTTTGTCACGGGTTTGCAGAGTGCTGCTTTACAGCTAGACAGCAGCAGTTGATGTTATGTACTGAAGTTCTCAGGGACGCGGGTGACGCTGTGGGTAAAACCTCAGCGCCTAGGACTTGCCGATCGTCAGGTCGGCGGTTTGAATCCCCGCGGCGGGGTGTGCTCCCGTTGCTCGGTCCCAGCGCCTGCCAACCTAGCAGTTCGAAAGCACCCCCGGGTGCAAGTAGATAAATAGGGACCGCTTACCAGCGGGAAGGTAAACGGCGTTCCGTGTGCTGCGCTGGCTCGCCAGATGCAGCTTGTCACGCTGGCCACGTGACCCGGAAGTGTCTGCGGACAGCGCTGGCTCCCGGCCTATAGCGTGAGATGAGCGCACAACCCTAGAGTCTGGCAAGACTGGCCCGTACGGGCAGGGGTACCTTTACCTTTACTGAAGTTCTCACCCTGGGCCAGCAGGGGGATACTGTAGATAGTTATGCAAATAAGGGATCGAAAGTGACGTTCAGTGATTGGATAGTTTTAGAAAGTTGTTACAGTTACGCTGTACTGGAGCTCTATATAAGCAGGCTGACTGAACCCTTCAGTTCAGTTCAGTTCTGTCCTGGCCTGTGAATAAACAAGAGCTGTTTGAAGAATCGCTGTGTCGTCTGATATGTTCACCCACAACTTAACAGTTGATGGGGCAAATGTAATGCCTAACTATGGATTACTTGAAAAATGGAAGTGGGGTGGTAATTTTGTGTTGTAAACTCTCCAGATATAGGGCAGTATCCAGAATTAATTAATTAATAATATGAGCATGAAAAAGGATGGTAGAGGTGAGCCTCCTAATTATGTTGAGATTCATATACAGTACAGTGGTACCTTGGGTTACATATGCTTCAGGTTACATACGCTTCAGGTTACAGACTCCGCTAACCCAGAAATAGTACCTCGGGTTAAGAACTTTGCTTCAGGATGAGAACAGAAATCGCGCAGTGGCAGTGCGGCAGCAGCGGGAGGTCCCATTACCTAAAGTGGTGCTTCAGGTTAAGAACAGTTTCAGGTTAAGAACGGACCTCCGGAACGAATTAAGTATGTAACCAGAGGTTCCACTGTACGTTGCATTTATTGTGCTGATGTTCTTGCCAACCCCTTTTATTAGTAATGCTGGGTTAAAAAAGGGAGAAAAATCAGTCCTCATCCTTCACAAGAAAGATTTAGATATTTTGCAGATGGGTGGCTGAGACTTTTCCTCGTTGAAACTATTATTTTGCCGCTGTTATGGTTAATAACTTTTATTTGCATGTTTACATACGATTCCAAAAGAATATGCAAAGAACTGTTCTTGGGTTATCTCTTGATCAAACTTCACATCTCATCTGCCTTACCTAACCCTCTCTCCTCCCTCCTTCCCCTAAGCTAAGGAATAGGGGAACCCTTTTTAAAAAAATATGTAAAGCAAACTCTCAGAAGAGATTTAATGAGTCATGCCGTTGTGTCATTTCCAACATATGGGTGGCCATATGGTAAAGAGTTTTTGGCTCTGTCTCAGCCGAACAGCCGTGCCTCCAAATTAGACTAAAGCAGCATGATATTTCCTCCTTTTATCTGTAAACACCTTTGTCACCTCCCCCAGGGTGCTATTTCCTTTTTACCTTTTTTTGGGGGGGGCAGCGGCAAGAGCAATGAGGCGGCATCTTTATTTAAACCGGGGCGTGTCATATCACATTCAATATCTGCTTTATGCTCTGGATTAATTTTGCACGAGTCCCCTGAAAGCTTTGACGGTTAAGTTCCTCCGGCAAAAAGGAAAAATGGAGGCCTCTTGTCAAATCGAGAGCAGGAAGGGAACTCCCAGGATGCTCACTTCATCCAACAAGCTGTTCTGGTTCAGGCACAGAGGGCTTAGACGCACATAGCAGAGGGCAGGCAGGGACATCGCTAAGGCTTGTTTCCCTTCCCTTCCCGTGTCGCTGACGAGTTTTCTGACACCGGTTGATGAAGCCTCCAGATCCACAGGCAATATACCTGTAACAGGGGAAGGCTTACATTCAATGTGCAGGATCTAGTTAGGTGTTGTTGTTTTCCTAGACTACAGGCACATTTTGTGACTCACAGGTCCAATTGTGACCATGTGGAGATCTCTGCATGCCAGGGTGGTGACTGGCCGCTCTACCTTTCTAAAGCTTCTTTACAGTGGTACCTGTTGGGATATGAGTACTACGCAGCAGTAGTACTCATATCCCAACATCCTCCCCCATATGATTCGACGTTAGCTGTTCAATGCTAGTTTGCAGCTGCGTAGTACTCATATATCCCAACAGTACCTTGTTCTCAAACTTAATCTGTTCCGGAAGACCGTTCCAAAACCAAAGCGATCCAAAACCATGCCGCATTTTCCCACAGAAAGTAATGCAAAATGAATTAAACCGTTCCAGACTTTTACAAACAACCCCTAAAAAAGCAATTTAACATGAATTTTGCTATCTAACAAGACTATTGATCCATAAAATGAAAGCAATAACCAATGTGCTATACTATAAAATACATAAGACAGTATTGTAGATGATAATTTTTTTTAAAAAAAGGTTTTTTCTTCCCTGCACTGATGATAGTCATTGTTTGGATGGGGGGCTTTTATCTATTTCCGCAGTCACACAATCAATCAGTAGCTGAACTGGGTTCCACACAGAAACCAAAACAAATTAACCAAAAAAACCTTCCGCAAAATAAATAGCAAAAACAAAAGCACCAAACTTAATCCGTTCCGGAAGTCCTTTTGACTTCTGAAATGTTTGAAAACCAAGGTGCAGCTTCTGATTGGTGCAGGTGCTCTGGAAATAATAGCCAACAACTGCATCAGACGGTTGGCTTCCAAAAATCATTTGAAAACTGGAACACATACTTCTGGGTCTTCGGAGTTTGAGAACCAAAGCGTTCGAGAACTAAGGCGTTTGAGAACCAAGGCCACACAGTAAGCTTCATGGCGGAGGGGGGATTTGAACCCTGATCTCCCTGGTCCTAGTCTGACACTCTAAGCACTACACCACACTGGCTTCCTAGAGTACTTCTGCTATGGGGCAGCTATATAAATTAAGTAGGTAAATAAATATGGGGAGAGCAGAATCCCACATAGAGAAGGATCTGAAATTATTTTCCTTGAAGCTTGAATTTATTTTATCCAGGGTCGTTTTGTTTGATGTTTTAACGTGTTGTAAACTGCTTTGAGATTTTTTTCATTTAAATATAACGTGGTATAGAAATGAAAGGGACAACGACAACAACATTTTTCTTTCTTTACTATTTCAGCTTCTGGAATATCCCATTGATGCTAAAGCCAACAAGTTTCCTTTCTTGCGAAATCCAGATATTTTGGTTGGAGAAAACGACCTGACAGCTTTAAGTTACCTCCACGAACCTGCAGTCTTGCACAACTTAAAAGTCCGATTCTTGGAATCAAACCACATCTACACCTACTGTGGTGAGTGTTGCAGTGTGCCATTTCTTTCAATATTTTTTTTGGGGGGTGGAAGAAGGTGGCAGGGGTGTGAGATATCAGAAGAGATCATTGTGACTGTCACCACCCTATTTTTTAAAAAAATAAAAAGACAAGTAGCCCAGAGTAACACAGAGATTATTAATTCCGGATCAAGATGTCTTGCCCCTTGAGACCACCTCTGTCTTCCCTGGCCATGGTCCATGCTGGATGGAACTGTGAGAAATTGTCGTCCAAAACATCTGGAGGCTTCCAGATAACTACCGTATTTTTTGCTCCATAAGACGCACTTTTCCCCTCCTAAAAAGTAAGGGGAAATGTGTGTGCGTCTTATGGAGCGAATGCAGGCGGGAGGCTCTGCTCAGCGCTCCCTTTAAAGAGCCGTGCGGAGCATGTGTGCGGCTCTTGGGGTCTTCTTCTCCTCAGGGAAAAGCCCCCCAGAGCCACACACACGCTCCACGCGGCTCGTGAAAGGGAGCGTTGAGCAGAGCCTGGGATGCATACAGGCTCTGCTCAGTGCTCCCTTTAAAGAATATTTTTTTCCTTGCATTCACCCTCTAAAAACTAGGGGAGTCTTATGGTCAGGTGCGTCTTAGGAAGCGAAAAATACGGTAAGTCTGTACTAGGTTTTTAAGCAGGTAGCTTAGTTTATTGCTGCACAAGAGATTTTCTGTTTGTTTTCAAAAGGATAGACGTGTCTGTCTGTTCATGAATCAGCAAAAACTACTTCAAACATGACCCTTTTTTTTGGAGACAGGCAATACAGCGTTAAAGGGCTGAAAGCATCTCTCATAATAGAACTATAGAAACGAAAACTCGCACACATGATGAGGCAGACAGATGAGCAGGAAATGTACATCTCTCTTGGCAGGATATAAGCTCTCTCCGCACATCAAAGAAGTATCTCCGAATCCTGCCCTGTACTTTTTTTATGTTCTTTACAGGATTTTCTTTTGTAAGTCACCTTGAGGGCTTTTTCTAAAGTCAAAAGCTGTGGTATAATAAGTGCTCCAGTTTCTTTTTAAATCCTGCAGCACAGAGAACTGTTTGTTCTAGGAAAAAGCCATTCCTTGTCTTGTCCTGCCCTGAGAAAAACGCTGATACCTTTAGATTTCAGCATTGATTGATTGATTGATTGATTGATTGTGTTGTTTATTAAATAATGGTTATGGGACATCTGTGCTCCTGAAACCATCCTGAAAATAATAGAGGAAAATGCTAAAGAAGAAGAGTGCTCCCTTTAAAAAAAAAAGTCCTCTACATGCTGAAGAGGCAAGCCACTTGCATTTGTGTTTTACGGAAAATCTGCTTGCCTCTTCAGCAGTGCAAATGGCTGTGCTAAAGAACTCGTGCCTTAGTGCACATTTCTCTCTCATGTGCAAGTTGTACCTTTGCTGCATTATGGTTGCAGAGGGCAAAGTGGTAGGCGGTGAGTTGAAATGTGGAAGCCTTTCAAATATATTCTCATATGGTGGCCATAGAGTAAGAAACTGCGGCGATCACACAGGGTCCCCGGACGTTTCACCGTCTATTGATCCCTGTCCCACCACTTTATTTCTCACTGCCACCACCCAGGACCTACTGAGTCCAGTCAGGGTTAAATTGGAACATAAACTTCTGTTTATTTATTGCAGTTTAACGATCGTGTGGTTTCATAAATGGCATCGGTCCATTACAATCCTGGGGTGCCTATCCAGACCTATAACTTCCGCTCCCTGCTCTCATTCACTAAACCACCTCTCATATATTTACTTGTCTTCCTAGCCCCTAACTGTTCCTGACTCAGCTTATTTCGCTACACTAACTCAACCTACCCACAGACTCTATCCCAATTCACTCCCACTCCAACCAACCAACCACCCAACTCCCAATGAACTCCCCCTCCCCCTCCCAGAGCTGGTTTTATAGTCTCTCTGACTCCACCCCCTGGGTTCTGATTGGGTAACCTGTTTAACTATTTCATCTCCAGCACTCTCATATGTTCACGTCACAGAAACCACAGTCCACAAAACACAGCTAGGCTGGAACAGCATCGTCATCATCATTTATGTAGCAGAAAAGTGATTCAAAGTTGATTGGTAGTTCTTATTTTAGAATGTATTTACAATGTTGCTTCTTTGGCATGGCTTCTAACTGTTTGCATGCTTGCCTGTTTTCAAGGTATTGTGCTTGTTGCCATCAATCCCTACGAACAGTTGCCAATCTATGGACAAGATGTCATCTATGCATACAGCGGCCAAAACATGGGGGACATGGATCCTCACATATTTGCAGTTGCAGAAGAAGCATATAAACAGATGGCCAGGTGAGTGGAATAATTGCCCACTCCAGCTCCAGACAGACTTGTGCCCTAAAACCAAAGCTATCCCATATTCATGTAAGAAAGCACCCAAATTCGGTTGGCGGACAGGCTCTGAAAATCCTCATGATTGGCATGGTGTCATGGAGTAAAATGTTTGCTACTGAATGCTGAACCCAGCAGCTTCTGCCGAATACTAAGGTTTCCGACTTAATTTCTTCCTTTCTTTCTTTTTGAGCAGTTTCCTAGTCCACTTGGTTTCGTTGCAGGGGGAAATTGAGCGTGCATTTGCCATGGTGCCTGCTATCAGTTCTGCTTATTCATGAAGACTAGTAATGAAGTTAGAGAAATTAGTGTTTGAGGAGGGTTTGCTTCTCATTGCCTGTTCATGCTTCGTGGCTTCTAGTTCTCTCTTTTATCCTTCTCCCCTTCCCTTTGGATGAATGCTGATGCTTCAAACCAAACCCCAGGGCCAGGCCAACAATGGTAGTAGCACTGGCCCTGCCAAGCCCCTCCATCTCACTTACAGATACATTCACACGGTCGCAGTTAGGACTTATCTTTGGAACCTCCTGGACTGGAAACTAGCTTTGTTGACTTATCTGGCACTGGAAAAGAAGCCTGCCAAGTGCTAAAGGAAATGGAAATGTGTGACATTGAACAGTTGCTTTGAGTTCATGAAGAAAAGCAGAGTATAAATTATATAAGTAGACAGATAAATAAGGGCTCCTTTGATGGTCAGGCAAGGTGAAGCCTCTGGTTACATGCTTGCAAAGGGGATTCTGGTGCTGACACTGCCTTCCTCTCCTCTTCCCCTCCTGGGTCAGAAGGAAGGCAGCAGCAGCAGAAACTTTTGGGTTCTCCTAGTTCCTGACAGCGTGTGATTCATACTATGGAGAAGTCTCCTTTGAAGGCTTTTGTCCACATTGATAATTGCATGCAGAGCACCATTTTCCCACTGAGGTGGCTTGGATGTTTAGTCCCTGTTCAGTCTGCAGTGTGTGTGTGTGTGTGTGTGTGTGTGTGTGTGTGTGTGTGTGTGTGAATGCTTACTGGGAACAACTGGGAGTGCACAAAGCCGCCTCTCTCCTGTCGCAAGATAAGCCCTCTGGGAGCCTTGGGGAAGAAGGAGACCGTGGAAGCTGCTTGCAAGCATTTGTCCAAGGGGAACTGACATTTGCCTACCTGACAACTTTGTTCCTTGTCTATTTGTTCCCTCTTCTTCTAACATCTCCACGCTCTCCAGGTCTAGATTTGGGTTGGTTTCTGGCCATATCCTTCCAACCACCCTGCATGCAGTATTCTTGTTGCCCTTCAAAAAAACAACAACAACATCCTCTTCAAAACCAAGCGCAGATTTCCCCCGAGTCTGAGGTTTCTGTGTCTCAGTTTCCAGTTGTAGAATTCAGGCTTGTTTGTGCTAAGATTTGTGGTTTTGAGATGTTGGACCTTTTAGTGCAGAATTCCAGAGCCTTTGGCTGCATCTGAACTTTTGCTTACCTTCAGTCTTCAGAGAAGCTCCCCTCACCTTTTCAGCATCCTTGGTTAGCGACAGATGATGGTGCATCAGCAAATTCCCAAAACTTTCACCGGAGCCCTTAAAAAGGTGCTTTTATTTCTCTTTCTGGAAGCAAAAGTTTCATTTACTGTGCCTCCCTTATTGATCTTATTGCTTTTTACCGCTGTTAGCTTGCAGTGCAACTTAATCATCCTGACAACAGCGTTTGAGCCAAGTTTGAGACTGCTGTGAGCAAGGGAAGCTCTCTGGGCTTAATTGGGGTTTAATCCACCCACTCCTGCACTGAAATTGGCCCGGGCTGCAGTCGGAAGTTGCTGACGAGTTGGCGTTGGCAGAGACCCCCGAGATGAGAGTCTCCATAGCAGTTTTGTCTTTCAAGCAAGTTTTAAGAGCAAGACTGAGCAGTTATACTCCTTTGAGCTCCCTGGCGGGGCTGTTAATGCAAAATAAGCATGGTATCTTTTATGTTTGACCTCGATGCGCAAAAATGAGAAGGGTGCAAAAGTGCCGGGCTGCCTTCAGCAAAGTGCTGAACTGCTTTTCCGTCTGTTGTGCTATATAATATTTTTTTAAGGCTGTTTGCAAGTTTGACTGCCATTTGAGACATGTGTCCTCATCCTAGTTTTCCCCCCTGCTATGTAAGAGTTGTAGATCTGTGGATTGTTCAAAAACCTGCAGGTCCTGTTTGACCCAAGGTGGCAGAGGGGTGAAAGGAAGGTTTCTGTTTATAGTGTTGGACGTAGTTCCTCTCTCTAGTTTCAATGCTGAAATGTTTGTCTGTGTTCAGCCTGAGAGGAGTGTTGCTCAAACACATTATGTGCAAATGCGCACAGGAAATCTCTGCCATAATTGTATTATTTTTTAAAAGGAAAGTAGCATTGGGAGGGTGGAATTTGAAGCAGAGGAACAGTGAGGTGTTTGGCCCTTTCATGTTGGTGAGAGAGGCTTGGAAGAGAGATTCTTACTCTCTCATAGTGGAGTTAGCACAATGGCAATTGCTCCAAGCACATTAAAATTCAAGCCTCATCCACCTTTAGACGAATGTTCCTCACAAAAATACTTAGGCTAGAACAAATCACAGATACTTAGCTTTGCAAAAGTGAAGATTTTACTCTCAGATTTTCAGAAGTTACAGCAAACAAGTATCCATCCGTTGGCGGTAAAAAAAAAAAACTTGGTTTCCTTAAAAAGAATCATGAGTCTTTGTGTTAGCAAAGATGCAGGCAGTTAAAAATATCTTTCTAGAGAGATTCACTCACTTGTAGGTTTTTCCTCTTGAGCTTTGAGCTGTGTTGCAGCCCAGCTTCTTCTGGGAAGCAGGGCAGAGAGGGAGGGAGGGAGTGAAGGGGAAGCAAAGGCTTGCTGAGTCCCATCCATGGTAATTTGAATTAAGGGCTCAGGTTAACCCTTTCATGCATGCAAGTGTGAGCCAATAACTGTGCATTACAACAATTTGTGGCTTGCATTTTCTTCATTCCAAAACAGACACACACAGACGTACCCCTCAGTATCAACACGGCCCTCATACCAGACTGTCTGAGTTCAGGAGAATAGTCTGAAGGCACCTTGGAAGGAAAAAGTCTTGAGTGTGGGAATCATCTCCAGAATACACCTCAGGAGATGTTGCTGTGCCAGAGCCTTCTGTAAGAGGAGCCAACACTGTGTTTCCCCACTTATGTGTCCCGAAGTGGTTGCTCTGTCTTCCTCCTTGGACTACTACTACTACTACTACTAATAATAATAATAATAATAATAAATTTACCCCTCCCATCTGGCTGGGTTTCAGCAGCCACTTTGGGTGGCTTCCAACACAATATTAAAATACAATAGTCTATTAAACATTAAAAGCTTCCCTAAATAGAGCTGCCTTCAGATGTCTTCTAAAAGACTGGTAGTTGTTTTTCTTTTTGACATCTAGTGGGAAGGTGTTCCACAGGGTGGGTGCCACTACCGAGAAGGCCCTCTGCCTGGTTCCCTGTAACTTGGCTTCTTGCAGCGAGGGAACTGCCAGAAGGCCCTCAGCGCTGGACCTCAGTGTCTGGGCTGAACGACTGCAGATGCTTTTACAGTGGTACCTCAGGTTACATACGCTTCAGGTTACATACTCTTCAGGTTACAGACTCCGCTAACCCAGAAATAGTGCTTGGAAACATTGGAAACATTGGCCTGCAAGCGCTCCAGTTGGAGAACAGCCTTTACCAAAGGTGTCATGGACTTTGAAGACACTCAAACTCAGAACGCAAGGGAGAAACATGCTAAGAGGAAGGCACACTTGGCAAATCCACACCGTGATCAACTCCCGCCCAGAAACCAATGTCCCCACTGTGGAAGGACGTGTGGATCCAGAATTGGACTTATTGTTAAAACTGTGTTTATGGAAGACAATCTTACTCGGCTACGAGTGATCGCCAAAGAAGAAGACTTTGCCTCCATGTGGCTTTCTTAATTTCTGTGGGTGGCATTTGAGAAAGTGTGTTGATTTCTCTGCACCTCCTTTCATAGGAAGCTGCCTCATATTGAGCCAGACTATTGGTCCGTCTGACTCAGTATTGTCTACACTGATTGGCAGCAGCAATTGGGGGGGTTTCAGGCGGGGGTCTTTACCAGCCCTACCTGGAGATGCTGGGGATTGAATCTGGGATCCTTCAGATGTTGTTGGAGTCCAACTCCCATCAGCCTCAAGCAGCATGGCCAATGTCAAGAAATGGTGGGAGTTATTGTCTAACACATGATTCTTAATTTGATGTGAGGGGTTCTGGGTTCAGTTCCCAGAAGGAGACAGGGCCATACCTTTAGAAAATTTGAGAGATCAGAAGGTCGGCGTTCGAATCCCCGCAACGGGGTGAGCTCCCATTGCTCGGATCCCTGCTCCTGTCAACCTAGCAGTTTGAAAGCAAGTCAAAGTGCAAGTAGATAAATAGGTACCACTCTGGTGGGAAGGTAAATGACGTTTCCATGTGCTGCTCTGGTTCGCCAGAAGCGGCTTAGTCATACTGGCCACATGACCTGGAAGCTGTACGCCGGCTCCCTCAGCCTATAAAGCGAGATGAGCGCCGCAACCCCAGAGTCGGCCACGACTGGATCTAATGGTCAGGGGTCCCTTTACCTTTACCTAGGTGAGTGGAAGAGCAGGTGCTTTACATGCATAAGGTTTCAGGTCCAGTCCCTGGTCTCTCCAGCTTAAAGGATCAGGTTAGCAGAACCTATGTGAGTCCCTGGACCGCTGCTGCCAGTTGGAGTAGACAATACTGGACAAAATGGATAGACTGTCATAGTAGGACACAGTTTCTTTATTCTGGTGTGAAAGCTATTGCATTAGTTAAAACGGCAAATCTCATTGAAGTGTAACAGGCAGCATCAAACAAAATGTACAAACACTAGTCTCAAGTCTGCAACTCTTACCAAAAAAAAATAAATGGCAGCATTAAGGGAAAGGGTCATACTTCAGTGATGAAGCGTTTGCCTTCATGCAGGAGGTTGCAGGTTTGTTTCCCAACTTCTCCATCTAGGGCTGGGAGAGAGCCCTGCCTGAAACCCTTCTGGGAGAGACTCTGCCAGTCAGAGGAGG